AATAAAGTTAAATAAAATAAATAGATTTGTCTCCCCACCAATGTCATGCCCATAAAATCATACGATGGCAGGGCTGACATCACTGCAGGATTGAACATGGCAGAAGCCACCTGGAAATGGAGAGATGAAGGGCATAACCTGACTTACCTAGTAGCCACGGTCTTGAAAAGCTATGTGTACAGACAATATGACTTGTACTTCCCATATGTCTGAAGATAAACAAGGAAATTAATTTCACAGTGAAACCTTTGGAAAAGCTAAAAGTCTAACTGTAAAATATCCAAGCACCTTTTAGCTTAGCCCTGGTTTATATGCAGCTTTTCATCTGTGAATTCTGGTGAAAAAGGAGGCACAGCCCAAGTCTCATAAAGTCCTCTTAGAGGATGCAGAGACCTCTCATTCCCAGGATGAGAAGACCCTAGGCCCTGCTATGCTAGGTCTGTATGGTAGGTTTCCACACCAGTACCCTGACAGCACTCCTAAAAAGGGTTTTCTAGGGACCAGCGGGTGGGGTAATGGTTACTTCACTGGACTCCCACATAGCCGAACATGGTTCAAGTCCTGGACCTGGCAACTTAAAACTCACACTGGGAGCACATGCATGCATGCCCAAGATCCTGAGAGGGGAATGAAGGAGAAGAGATTGTGGCGTGGCCTTCCCCCCGGGGTTAGGGGGAGGGGTATGATTTCTTGCTTTTTGTCTCTCTGTGTCTGTCTCTCTAGCGAGTGCCCACACCCTATAGCAAAAATCTAAAAAAAAAAAAAAAAAAAAAGAGAGAGAGAGAGAGAGAGACAAGAAAGAGATATAAAGCTACTGTGCTTTGTTTTGTCTATTCAAAACAAAATAAAAAGACAGCTTCCAAACTGCCATGGATGACTTCAAGTCAAAAACCTATAGGGATTAATGGGGCACCACTGTGCAAAAGCTGCTTCCAGCCTCACTCAGCCCAGTCAGGTCACCGTGGCACCAGCAGGTGTCACAGAGTGAGCAGTTGGGGGAAGGAAGGGCCCAACTCTGGCTGAGTTTCAATAATTCCAAGCCATGGAGACAGGTGGTATTACACCTGCCCTGATCTGAAAGAAAGTTTGTTTCGTTTCCTTACAAGAATCATTTCAGAAGTTAGAACATCGTAGACTCCTGCTGTGGAAGAAAGGTTTGTAACCTCAGCTCCTGAGCCCGGGAAGTAGCTCAGCTTCCTGAACTCTCCAGGCGTGTCAGCTTGAGAGGGAATCCTCTCCTGCTTCTCCTTCCCACCCCAACGCTGTCTTTTAAATGACAGGGAAGTGGTTGAGGAGGGAGGACGAGGACAGACCTTAGAGGGCTGGGAGTGTAGCCCCCTTTTCACCCCCATCACAACTATGGCAGAATCAGATTTGTCCTCAGAATAAGCCCAGATTACGAGAAGCCCAACTGCCAGGATGGGGAAGGCAATGCCACCCTGAAGCCCTGGTTTCCTGTAAGCACTCACGCTGGGCCTGGGAGGTGCAGACAGGCGGAGAGAAGCCCTTCAGGGACAGCAGCCTAGTCTCCTGATTGGATGAGGTTGCGAGGAGGGCTTCAGAGCTAACACTGACCTTCATAGATCCTGGTGGTTTTTTTGTTGTTGGTTTTTGTTTTTGTTTTTGTTTTGTTTTGTTTTGAGATTATTGCTACAGGGCACGTGTACTCAGCAGAGAGACTGAGAGAGACAGAAAGTGAGAAATCACCCCCAGGTGATGGCCACACTGCAATCCCTTCTCCTCCATTCTCTTCTCGGGATTTTGAGCACATATGCACATACACCCGGTGTGAGTTTTAAGCAGCCGGGTCCAAGATGGCGGGTCCGGGACTTAAACTGGCAGTCAGCTATCTGAGAGTTCAGCTCCGTAACCTTAATGTCATCTGCTGGTCCCATACCTTGTTCTTAAAAATGTAATACTAGGGGCCAGCCGATGTTGTTAATGGTTAAGGTGCTGGACTCTCACATGGCTGACCACAGTTTCAGTCCTGGACCCAGGAGCTTGAAAATCACACCGTGTGTGTGTGCATGCAAGTCTACACTCCCACGAGGAGAATGGAGAAGGGACTGCAGTGTGGCTGTGTCCCCTGGGGGGCGATTTCTCACTTTGCCTATCTCTATCTCTCCCTAGGGAATTCACACACCTTTGGGAAAAAAACTAAAATAATTATTAAATAATTAATTAATTAAAAACTAATGGGAAGGGAAGTCTCTTAAGATTCAGAGTGATCGCATTCACCTGGAATCCTCAGTACTTTCTCCTCCCCTGGTGGGATTTACAAAAATCTGCTGTGGTCCTTGTGAATTTATCTTTCCACACGGTTAAGCACCAGGACAAAGGTCACAGGTGAACCCCTTCCCAAACACTGTCAGCTTAGCTCAGAAAACCATTTGTTTCTTTGTTTGTTAATGAATTCACAAGTGAGATTTAGAAATCGATTTCACACACACCTCTGATTCCGAGAGCTGTCCTTCTGTGCAGCAGTGGAGGCCAGGACAGAGCAGAGACTGGCACCCACACACCCCTACATGTACATACACACACCCCTAGCAGGACGTCCCCCTCCATCCCATAGGGAACGCACCTTACCTGGCCCATCAACAGGCCACCTCACCACCTCTCCCAGTACCCCTATTTCTCTTGTAAAAGGCTAGGGAAGCTATTTCCCCACCAAAACTAATCTCCAAAATCATGAGCACCCCTTCCTGATCATGTCTACACTAGCGCCCTGATCCTCTCCCCACAGAACAAAGGCCGGATGTGCTGCCCTCAGGAATTCTGCTGAGATTCCACTTTGTATATATAACCAACACCCCCCCCCCAAAACACACACACATGGTACCCGCAGGACCACCAGCCCATCCAGGGCTTGACCATCCCGGCTCTAACTCCAGTGCTGTGCCTACCGGTGGGACTTTGGTCACTCCGTGACTCAGTTTCTTCACATAGGAAATGAATGCCCTAACAGTGTCCATGCTGGCATCTGAGGGTCAGGCTCCTGGCAGGACACGGAGTCCCAGCCTTCCGCAGTATTCTGGCGGGGCGCGCCTGGGACTCCATCTCCCTCGCCGGGCCCTCGGTGAGGGCTCCTGCCACTCCTGAGGGTAGACTAAGGCTTGCCTTTGCATCTGGGTCTTGTCAGCTCACACTGAGATCGCAGTACTGCCTGGGCTCCCGGCTCACGCTGCAGCCCCGTCTGGCCTTCAGCTCCCAGCTCCTGCTCCCAGTCCTAGGGTCCTGCAGGGCGTGGCGACAGTGGCAAGGCCTGCTGGCTCTGCACTCTCACCTTCAGGCTCGGCTGGGCCTTCCAGGTCAACTGGGCTGGGTTGTGGCCAACAGAGCCGGAAGCTGGGCCCAGCAGGAGAGGACCTAGCAGCCCTGGCTGGTGCCTTCCTGTCCCCAGCCTCTGCCCCTGAAGTGAGTCCCTGTGGCTGTGCTGCTTTAGCTTGTGCACTGTCCCACACCACAGTGCACGGATTTTAGAGCACGGCTCCCTGGGACCTTCCTGCAGTCTGCGGGCATCCTATGAGTCCTCTGGGCCTTTGACCCTTGACAGGGGATCTCTGTCTCTAGGCCAGAGGACTCCCACGGTTTCCCAGAGAGGGATCTGAGGTTCAGAGCACTGTTACTGCGTGGGCCGGTATTAGCTGACACCGCACAGGGTGCCTGGGTCTGGGGTTTCATTTGTTTGTTTTTTAAATGAGAGACATACACGGTTTGTGTGTTTGTTTTAGAGTAAGAGATATTTGCTGTAGGGCTCATGGGTTCACCCTGAGACAGACAGAGAGGGAAAGTGAGAAATAACCTCTCAGGAGGAATGGCTATGCCACAATCCCTTCTCCTCCATTCTCCTCTGGTTATTTTGGGCACACATGCACACATTCCTGGCGAGTTTCAAGCCACCAGATCCTGGAACTCCAAAGGTGGTCAGCCACGTGGGAGCGGGAGTCCAGGGATTTAACCCCTGCCAGCAGGGGACTTTGGACAGGGTCTCAGCCCATTGGGTCCTCTGCCCCAGCCTCCCAGGTAGCTGGGATTCAAGGCCTGTGGCCTGTTGAGGTCGGCCCTGACCGGAGCCCAGTCGGCCTCCCATGCAGCCCCAGCCCAAGGGCTGCTCTCCCCTTGCTCTAGCAAGGCTGGGCTGGGCTGTGAGAGGAGAAGCTTTGGCTCTGTGGCAGGGGACAGGCGGGTCAAACTTCAGGACCAGGTGAGGTGGCAAGCATCTTGGGAGGGTGCAAAGGGGCAGGGAACAAAAAAGCCAAGGCACAGTACTTTATTATTATAAGATATTGCATTAGCGTAATTATGTATTGTTTTTATTATTACAGTTATATTATTAAGATATTAAAGAGGACTGTGGAAAAGTTCTTCCCCTCTTCCATGTACTCGGGGCTGGCCTTGACCCATCTCAAATCCTTTTTTTTTTTTTTTTAATTTGATACAGGGCTGTTGAGCTCTCAGGAGAGAGTCAGAGAGAAAGCAAGAAAGCCCCACCCCATGACCCCTGCAGGCATGGAGTGGGTGAGCATGCCATAATCCTTTCTCCATTCTTTTGGGATTTTATACACACACATGCCTGACATGCTTTTTAAGCTGCTGGGTCTGGGACTTGAACCACACAGTAGGTTATGTGAGAGCAAGACGTCTAAACCACCATGCACCCTATTGGCCCCACTGTATTTCATTCTTTTTTTAAAGAATTATTTAATGTAACTTTATTCATTTTAATTTGACCAGAGAGGGGCAGAGCGAAAGGGACAGGAAGTGAGAAAGCAAACCACCACGTCCAGGACTCGAACCACTGTCGGCCCATGTGGGAATCCAGCACCCTTAATTAGCACGCCACCTGCCAGCTCATATCTTTCATTCTTTAGAGGGACAAATCTGGTACTTTCCCTTTTGTTCATGTATAAGACTTTTGATGTTAGACATACTTTACACAAAATACATGAGAAACGACTTTTCAGGAAAAAAATGTATTGTAATTTGATGACATTTACTAGAGATGTAGTGTTTTATTTTGTTTATTCACTGATTTTTGTCCACGGTGGGGGGCACATAGCCAACAAAGCCCTCATGCCATGCTCCACCCAGCCTCAGTCAGACCGGACCATGGCCCCACAGGGTGTAAGTCCTGAATGTAGAGGGAGGTCCTGGGACATGACCTTGGGACCTTCTATGTGGGATCCACATCACATAGAGGGTTCTGCCCACTGCGCCTCCAACTGGACCCTCAAGCTGTAGTTCTGAAAGAAAATAAATACAATATTCAGGGAACTTTGAGGACGGAAACTTTTCTTAGAGATAGTTTATGATCCCACCACTTCAGAAAAAGCAATGTTTTTTCCTGAAAAAAAAAATTAAAAAGCATAACTAGAAAACTACCATGACTTTTCAGTTGGGGAAAGTAAGACCCCAGGATGGGCTGAACCTTGGGGTGTGGCTAGAGGTAGAAGGGGCCAAGTGCACTTAGGGTCTGTGGCTTCAACAGCAGGCTGACTGTCCCCCTCCCTGAGGTCACACAGCAGTCACTGGGTGGGAAAGGGCACACTCAGGGGGTAACATGAATCCAGCTGGGTCTGAGGCCCTGGGAATCTGCCAGAGGAGAAAGGGGTTTTCAGTCCTGCACAGACACTTAGAAGAGAAGTCCTCTTACAGGCCCAGAAGGCCCTGCAGGAGGAGAATGAAGTGTGGTGGGACAGTGAGCTGGGCAGAACGTCCAGACCCCAACAGGCCAAGGCCTCCCTGACGCCTGCACCCAGCAAGCCTTTGCTTTTCACGGGCTTCCAGTCGAAGGGCTGTGGGTACACATGAGTGCACATGATCAGAGGAACACGATGTCTTCATGAACGATTTCCAGCACGCAGTGCAGCACAGGTGCCTCTCCAGCAGGTGACCCCACCCAGTTTTAGGTAGGACACTGAGACGTGTGGATTTCTCAAGGGACCCGCTGGGCCTCCCCCGACTCTGCAGTCACAGCAGAGATCACAGAATCACCTACAGGAAACTAGCAACAGCGGAGGCATGGCCTGGTCATCATACCAAACTTAGAAATCTCAGCTCTCAGCTACTTGGTGACGTATTTCTTCAGCACCCCCAACAGCTGCTGCTGTAGCACCTCACTGCCCATGATCTGCTTGGTCAGCTGCGCGACGTCTATCCACTCCAGGTTCCTGATGATGGCAGTGACTTCCTTAAAGAGCTTCTGCCGCTCAGCAGGCGGCAGCTCCATTATGATCTGATGAATTGGCTTGAACTGTCCACTTGTCATCCAGGCACCTAATAGACCCCCGACGGCCCCCCCTAGAAAACAAGGAAGGGTTCAGTTAGTGGGGCCTTGTTCACAGATGACGCTCTGGGTTCTCGCTGAGAGCTCGTCCGCTGTCACGATGAGTGGGCACATCCGCCAGGGAGGCAGGAGAGGCTCAACTCCCCCCTGCTCCCAGGCCTCACAGAGGGCAAAGGTTTATGTGGTCTTTGGCCCATTCAGCTCAGATAATTGAGAAACTTAAATATACCCTTCTATGGGACAAGCAGTTAGAGTAATGGCTATGTCGCTGGACTCCCACGTAGTCAACCACAGTTGGAGTCCCGGACCTGGTGGCTTAATTCATGCTAGGCGCGTGTGCGTGCGTGCCCAAGATCCCAGAGGAGAATGGAGGAGAAGGGATTGCAGTGTGGCCATCCCCTCTGGGGGGTGATTTCTCGCTTTCTACTCTCTGTCTGTCTGGCGAGCGGACGGCCCATATAAAAAAAAAAAAAAAAAAAAAAAGATACCCTTCTATAAGTGCTTGGCACTTACAGATACAAATGAGGCATTTACCTCATCTCACCTGGGCTGTGCTGGCCAAAATCCTCTCAAAGGGCTGAGGAAGGCTCCGCCCTTCCCACAAAAATCTCTCTCATTCCCAGGAGAGGGCTGGGAAGCAAATGCATTTCTGAAGACAACCAGGTCAGGGGGTGGCTGATATGCTCCTTGCACCCAGACTTAGGAAACTGTCCTGTTGGTGAACTCCCTGATGAAAGGACCACAGGGACAGGTAAGGAGGGTCTCTCTCTTGGAGCAGTGTTTTATACATCCCCTCCAAGCTGAAGGACAATAAATCACAGATGGAATGTAGTTTACCATTTGTCTCTCTGCTGCTCAAAGAGGGCACAAACATTATTTTTAAAATGTAAATCTACTGCCAAAGTGAGGGCAAATTATTTTGGGACTTAGAGATCTTGTATCAGGGCCAGCAGATGGCACAGTGGACGCATTGCTGGACTCCACATGGTTGGTTTGAGTCCCAGACTCAGTGGCTTAAAAATCACACCAGGCATGTGTGCATGTGTGCCCAAGATCCCAAAAGGAGAATAGAGGAGAAGGGATTGCAGCATGGCCATTCCCACAACCGCCCTCCCCAAGGGAGGTAATTTCTCGCTGTCTTTGTCTCTTTCTCTCTCCAGTGAGCGCATGTGCCCTATGGCAAAAACCTCTAAAAGTGAAAAAAAAAAAACATCTTGCATCAGTGGAAAGTTCCACCTAACCAACCAGGTGTAGGATTCTACAGGGGGAGGGAAGGTATTCTGGGGCAGGAGTCTCAAACTCAAGTGCCTTCAGGGGCCAGGTGGGGGACTGAAAGGAGTGAGGAGGGCAGAGTGGGCCTGTGGTAACCGGGAGATTGCTTCTCACCTCAAGGGGCAGCTGCCACATGGAATACCAGACTTGTATCTTTAACATGTCTTAAATTTTTAGGGCAAGCCTGGTGGTTCAGAGCTAGATCCCACATGGCGAACTACACAGTTCAAATCCTGGCCTGGCGGCCTGGAAGACATGCCAGGTGTATGTGCATGCACGCTCGAGATCCCAACAGGAAGGAGAAAGAGGGATAAGACTGCAGCATGGCCAGGCCCCATTGGAGGTGCCTTCGCCCTCTTCCTCTCCCTAGAGAGTGCCTGTGTCTTCTGGAAAAATTGACCAAAAAAAAAAAAACCCTCATAATTTTCAAATATCAATTGGGGATTTAAAAGAGATGGATTGCTAGACTTAGTGACTGACTTCCAAAGAACAGAGTACAGAAAGGAAAATAGGAACTCAAAGAGGAAAAAAAAACCCCAGAAAACATAATCATAACCCAGTGGTCAATCATAACATCAGTGGTGATGCCATGTGGAGGTCACGTGCCCACCAAAATGATGCACAAGTAGGGTCCTTCGCTTCTGAGGTATTCTTTCCAAAGACCCAAAGTCCCATAATCCTAAGAAACAAACCAAAATGGAGAGAGATTCTATCAAATACCTGCCCGGTTTGTCTTAAAACTACCAAGGTCATGAACAAGCAAAGTCTGAGAAACTGTCACAGACCAGAGGAGACTAAGGCAACCGGCTGATTCAGTGGAACGTGGTAACTCGGACCAGATCTCGGAGAGGACAAGGCCATTAGTGCAGAAGCTAGTGAAACCCCATCAAGTCTAGAGAACAGTTCATAGTAATGTCAGTGTGATGTCTCTGTGTTTTTTTTTGTTTGTTTGTTTTTAGAATTATTTTATTTAAATTTATTTACTTACTTATTTTTTAATTTGACCAGCATGGGACAGAACGAGAAAGAAAGAGAGGGAAAGTGAGAAACCAAGCTGCCAGATCTGGGATTTGAACCACAGTCTGCCATATGGGAGTCCAGCACCCTTAACCATCACGCCACCTGTCAGCTCCAATGTTTCCATTTTAACAAATGTAGCATCGTCCATGTTATCAGGGTCACTGCAATCAGGGGAGGGATATAGGGGATTCTCTTTACTATCTTTGCAACTTCTCTACAAATCTACTATATTTCAAAATGAAGGGTTCATTCCTAGAAATCAGCCCCAGCCACCCTAGTACATGCACTGGTAGACACTGCTAGTCAACAGGGTGAAGCCACGTGGGAGGTCCAGGGTCAATTTTTGGCCCATCCTAAAAGCACAGCCCAATGACACACACCTACAATCCCAGCAGAGGCTGACGTGGAGGATCATGAAGTGGTGAGGCCTAGTCTAGAAGTAAATAAATATGGGGCCAGCAGATGGCATAATAGTTACATCACTGGACTCTCATGCATCAACCATGGTTTGAATTCCAGACCCGGAGGCTTGAAATTCACGTTGGGCGCGTGTGCATGTGTGCCCAAAATCCTGAGAGGAGAATGGAGGAGAAGGGATTGCAGTATGGCCATCTCCCTAGGGGGTGATTTATTGCTTTCTGTCTCTCTGGCTAACACATGTGCCTTATAGCCAAATCTCTCTATAAAATATTAATTAAATAAAAGCAAATGAATAAATAAAAATGCAGCCTAGGCGGAGAAAACAGCTTTATGGCTGAAGTCAGACACCAGGCAGCAAAACCCATGCTCCATCAGGAAACCAAGCTGGAGGCTCCAGAAGTAGATATCATGTCTGGCCTTGAGCATGGGGTCAGCCTCCTGTCCCAGAGACCGGGGAGTTCCCTTGGATAAGATTTATCTCCTCTCTAAAGGAACAAGCCCTCTGCAGAGGGAAAATCACCTAATTTACCAATTTGAACTTTTCGCCATGACTCCATGAAACACTTTGAGCCTACAAGGGTCGGTCTCATCTGCACTACACCTTTATGAGAACATCAATATTTGATTTAGAGCCAGATTTAATGCAAAGAGTCACCAGGAACATTGACTAGCAAATTGCCAGCTCTTGGAAGAAATTCATTTGTTTTCTAGGTAAAATGATGCTCCCACCACAACCAGGGGCTGGAAGTAGTAGGTCCCCTGGGTTCTCTATTTAGACATGCTGTTCCCCTACCAGCGTTCACGCAATCTGAACAAATATGCACTCCCAATGTGGCATCTAGGCACAGCTACATGATAAAATCACCCTCAGGAGCCTGTGCTGACCTCACAGTATGTGGTGAGAACAAAAATGTAGGCGATCATTGAGGAAGAGGGAACTGGCTCTTCTCCTCCCTTTCTAGTACCTTTCTGAACGACAAGGAGCTGACATCAGGATTCGTTGATTCGCAGCATTCAGAAAGGGAAATATATAGAGGGAAGGTCTGGGGCTACCCACACGCCTATTTTTCTTCCTACAAGCGTATTTTTCAATTTAATGAAACGTCCTAGAATGTCAGTCCCACTACCAAAGGGAAGAACAGGGCAGGAGCCTTGCCAGTGAGCTGAGTGGCAGAAGCCAACTTCGACAGAAGAGCGGCTTCCTCTCCAGCCTGCATTCATATGAAGGCTGCAAGCCATA